TCGTAAGTTGATTTTTTCTACTTCTTCTTCTTCTGGACTAGAAAACAATTGGATAAAAAAAGGAGTGACAATTAACGCAAGATTGTTAATTACTCTTCTAAATGGTAGCATTAAAATTTCCGATGAGATAATCAACTTTAATCAAGGATGAACACTTTAATTGTTGTTCAATTTTTCAAACCTTTTTTAAAGCCTTCTTCAGTTAAAGACATTCCTTTTTTTATCTAACACGAAGCTCAAACTCAGTCAACTATGTAAGTTAATCAGTTAGACATTGTTCAATCGTTTAACAAGATCAATTTAAAACAATTACGGAAACAAAATGGCCAAACATAACAAATTGGTCATTTCAACATTCAACCATTTTCCTGGTTAGATAATTAGTTTCTGGTTAATTGGCTAATCGGGTTCAAGCGGCATTCTCAAGATTGTCTCTCAACGGTTCACTCGACAGTCTTTGGGTTATTTTGCATTATTGTGATAATTCATGCATTTGGTTTGATTGTTCATTAGGCTTTGAAAATGAAAAGCTTTACATTTAGCTATTGATTCAAAATCAACTTTTGTAGTTTTTTTTGGTAAAATTGTAAGACTTTTGTAAAACCTTGCTTTCATATCTGGGTTCACCTCTTACCATTGTAAATGTTGACCTGAAAAGGGTCTAAAAATGGCATTGAAAGTCGATATGATCTTATTGTGCCTTCAACTGTTTAGCTTTGCCTAGACCTGGTTAACCTTAGCTTTATAAAGTTGTTTGACCTGAAATAAAAACTTCAACTCACGATGACATCAACAATAGATTGACTAAAGTTGATTTCAATGCAAACTGCAGGTCACTTTGGTTCCACATCCAGCAAATGTCAAGGGAACTTGAATCTGGTGCAATTGAATAATCTTTAATCTTTACTGTTAATTATCTTAAAAGAATGTAATCAATCAGTTGAACATAGATTTTTGGGCAATGGGGAAACAACCTTTTAATCACAGTAATGATTAGGTTACTTTGGGTTACAATATGTTTATGGTAATGATGATCATGTTGATGAGCATGATGAGAATATTTTTAAACCATTTTTTCACCTCTTCTCCTTATTTTGTGTGTTGTTACACCTTATTTTCTCAAGATTATTATGAGCAACATCTTTAAATATGTTGGCCTAGAAAAGCAAAGCAAAAAAACAAGAAAACCCAAACAAATGTTAAGAAACAGGTAAAGATGTAAACAACAGGGTAAAGTAAAAACTGGTTCCTCAAAATGATTTGCTCTTTTAAAATCAACTCTTTCTTAAAACCTTGTTTATCCATTCAGAAAACATTGACTTCGTAACTAATTATCAATTGGATAAGAAAAAAAATCTGCAAATTTTTCAAATTCTCCAGTTGCACCTGAAGATCATCGATATTCATCTTAATAAGTTCAATTGTTCAACAGTCACCAAGTGCTATGCAAAGTCATAGAAGGTGAAAAATGTTTAAATTTTTGTCTCTTTACGATTTACTTGTTAGACTCAGGTAATAACAATAAAAATGTTTGCCATTCAAAGGTTTTTGTGAAAAGTAAAATACTTTTAAGGTTCACAGGTAAGTGAATAAGGTAAAAATAAGAAAGGAATAAAAATAAGAATAAAAAGATAAAAAAAAGGTTAAGACGTTTCAAGTGAAATGCGCCAAGTAAAGGTTGTAAGGCTTAACGAATTGGTTTTTAAATGAAAAGAATCGAGAAAATGGGGAAAAATGCTTTTCATTTTCATCTTTTCTGGTTTACCTGGAAATTGCAAGTAAATTTATTGCTATTAAAGTGAAATATGGGTTTTGATTGTTTCTAATTTCACCTTTTTTCTTGTTGAATTTTTGGATAAATTTAGATTGTTGGTTGAAACACAAAACGATTTATCAGTTTGATCGTTGATGCATGATTTTGGATGAAATTTTGATTAATTAAGATTATCTTTTCATTTGTTTAATTTTTCTTCTCAATTTCATCATTTTCATCATGTTCATCATCATTATCATGAAAACTATTCTGGGTAAAATGATGATATTCATTTGATATGAAAAACTAATGGTAATTGGATTTTAATAGCAGATTAAGAGATGGGTCAGATTGGAATCATCAAGTTCATCTTGCCAATCAACTTAATCTGCTTGTTACAATTAAAGGTTAACCATAATCAGTTCATTGTTTCATCTTGAAATTTCTATTGTGATTAAATATATATTTTTGTTGGAAAATAATAGCAACATGAAGTGACCTAAATGAATACATCAATGAATCAAGAATCAAATTTTCATTTTAAAAACCATGAAAATGAGGAAAGGAAAAAAAATTGTCATTTGAAAAGTTTAAAAATAAAAATCAATTTTTGTCTCAACAGAAAAAAATTTGAACATTTCAATGAAACATTTCCAATAATTTGACTAATCAATTTACTGTGCAATTAGTGAAAGTAAATTAAAAAATTACACTTCAATTGTGTCGTTGATTATCAATTATAATAATCAGTTATTTACAGATTTAATTGTTGCAACAATTGAAGCATCAAAAGGCACGTTTACATGATAATTGTTTCATTGAAAATTCATTTTCTTTTTTCAATATTTCTCTTGAAAAATGTTTCCTTTAACATTTTTAGAAAAGTTAACAATTTAAATTCAACAATTAACTATTCAATTGGCTAATCAATTAGTTTGGTGAAAAAGGTAAGAGCTAATTTGGTTTGGGTGAAAGTGCCAAATGAATTGTTATTGATAATGATTGGAATATGATTTTTTAGTCTTTTATGGTTACAATGAAATTGGGTTAAATACTGGTTTTAAAGGCTTCAATTTTACCGATTGAGTGATGGACAGAAGTGAAGATGAGAAAGTAGCACAAATGATGTCCACTGACCATTCCTAAAATAATTGTAGTGCATAGAGCAAGGTTGGAGCATAACATGATAATGATTGGGATTGAATGAAATTTGTTCATGTCTTTACTGATTTTTTGTTACATCAACCTATTGATTAACTAAACATGTAGAAACATTTCATTCTAATGATATTTCATCAACTAAAAGGATACAATTTACACTTTAAATCAATAGAGTTGAATGGATGGAGAAGAGAAAATCATTAGTTTTGAATGGAACTTTGAAAAGCAGAAAAATTCATCAAAAATGGTAATTTCTTTTCCATTCTTTTTCCATCTTCGACTTTTCAATTGAATCCTGAAATTTCAACAGTTGAATGAAGAGTACAAAATGTTGGAATTGAAATTAAATTTTCATTTAGAAATTAAGATTTTGAGATTGGAAATGTTTTCCAGATCCGATTTTTTTCATGACAAATTCAATTGTTTCATTTTGATCCATTTGAGTCTAATTCGAGTCTATTTTTTTGCGTTGCTGAATTACATGAATCTTTTCTGAATTAGTCTATTTTCAGGGTTTTCTGACGGTTTTTGCTTCTTTCAGTAGACTTTATTTTCTGGTCATCATAACATTATGATGATTGAATTGAGTCAACAACAGAATAAACGATTGTCAAGATTATTGGAAAGGAGAGTCAAAATAAAGTGACCATTAAATGGAAATTCATAGTTGACCATTGAATTGGTAAAAATGAAAATTGTATTGATGATGACAAGATGATTAGAGGTGGAAAGACAAGAGACAGAAGTACAATGTATTTTTAGATTTGGTTCATTTGATGACAATTTTTCTTGTTCATCGGATTCTTCACTTTTGTTACATTGAAATTCAATTTGACCTGAAATTTGCTTTTTTTCTTCCTCTTCATCGACAAGATAATTTTCATTCACATGAATGAATATTTTGAGTTGCTTTTTGTGATAATGATAATAAGAGACTAAATGTGAACAACATTTTTGGTAGCATTTCCGTTCAGATGTTAACTTCTCATGGATCTCATCATCACCCTGAAGACATTTACTCTTATTTTTATCTTAAAGACTCTCAGACAATTTGAAAAGTAAAGTTTGTCGAGCAAATATTTTTGTATCTCAATCAACAAGAAATACAATTGTAATGGTATTATTAGATGTTTGATGATAATGAAGATTAGGGTGAACCAGAAACCGTTAAAAGCTCATGGGAATGGAACAGGAAAAATGGCGGAAATGTTTGAGTTTACATTTGAATACTTTGGTGAACGATAAAAGGTGATTGTTGACTTTAATGGTTGCTCTGATAATGTAAAATCACCAATCGCTTTTATAAGCTTGACAATATCATGTATTGATATTGTCTCAGGGGAGGAGAAAGAGTACCGTATTTCCGAACATATAAGCACTGTGCTTATGAACAGAAATTCCTCACTGCGAAGTCCATGTTTATCTTCATAAATAAGAACACTGATAAGCAATTACATAGAAGTACATACAAAAAACCTGTTTTTTAACGAGTGTGGAAGCACATAGTGCTAATCTAAAGTGAGGAAAAATGCGCTTTTAAGTGAACGTTTCATTAATAAGATATTGTCTTAGGGGAGGAGAAAGAGCAAGATTAAGAAGGAAGAGGAAGTGGAAATATTCAAGAAATGCTATTCTCAGAATCAGGTATTGATCAGATTCAAGATGGTTTCAGATGATGGTCTAGATGATGTGATTGTGATTTATGGTTAACTTATGATTAAGAAGAAGCGCAACTTAAAAATAAAAAAAAAGGTTATCACTAAAACACGTTCATCATGTAATCATCTGTTTTCATCACTAAAAATGTTCTTCTTTTTGCTCTTCCTTTAAATGTTCATCTTTATCTTTCAAGGCGTCAACATTATCATCTTTGGGTTTGTGGGACAAATGAAGGAAGCATGATACTGATACTGATAATGCTGAACATGGTGAGAAACATGATGAAAGATTGAGATGGTTGACGGAAAAAAAATGTTAAAATGAAAGAGGTTTTCTGGATTTACCATCATTTTGCGATTTGTAAATGATAAAAATTGTTGACATGAGTTGCAGTTGACAATATGGGTGTAAATGTTTGAAAGCTTACCTTGGTTTTTGGGTTAAAATTTGGGTTAAAAAAAGAGATTTGTGAATTGGCCAATGTTTACTGACTCAAAATGAATGGCTTAGCAGAAAATCACAAATGTTACATCCAAATGTAGGTGATGTAGTTTGTTGTAAATTGACAATTTAAATTTAGAGTTGAGTTGCAATCAATACTGACAATGGTAAAGGTTACATGTTACGTTGAGATACATTATTGAATCCAATATTTGCTTGTAATCATTAAAATTAACCTTTAAACTGGCTTTTCTTTCCTTGGTTTGTTCACTTAATACTGGATGGATGTTTAAACAAATTGGTTGGTTTACTTTGGCCAAAAATCACAACACACTTGAGGGTTAATGATGTTGATGAATGTTCATCAGATGATGTCCTTTACATGGTAGCATGAGATTTAGAGATAAACACGAAAATTTACAAGAAAAAAAACAAATGTGTTGAAAGACACTAAAGGATGTAAACCTTTGATTTTAAATTTGTCCAAATTGTAACGTTGGTTCAAATAACAGTCTAATTTTTGTCAGGGTTTTAATCCGGTTAATGTAAAGGGTTGCTATTGTTGTTGTTGTTTTTTGGTTGTTGATGGTAGATCCTTTAGATGATCATTGAAGCCTCAAGAAAACAGATTGAATGAAGAGAAGATGAAGAAGAAAAAGAAGAAAGCTGAATTTCGGTTTACTTTTTTCATCTTGTAAAATTCAAGACTTTCATTAGGTTCATTTTTGACTAAAGCCGAGAGGGGAAGAAAGAGAGAGCGGGAGAGAGAGATGGTGTTAAGGCGGAGGAGTAGTGATGACAAAGAGAGAGGGAGAGAAGAAAGAAAGAGAAAAAATAAAGGAAAATGAAAGATGATAACGATTAATTCTGAAAGCTGCTGAACTGGTTCTGATAAATAAACAAATCAAGTAAGTACGAATCTTGTCAAAACAAATACATCTGTCGCCCTCTATTGAAGTGAATCTAAACTTTTTTATTTACCGCTATTTTCGAGATGAATGTTCATCGTTTCCATCATCATCTTGTTATTAATATATCCAAATGATGATGATCATGACTTGATCTGGAATGCGCAGTTGAACAACGAACAATCACGAGAAAAGAGAGAAACAGAAACACAAGGAAAACAAAACAAACTCTAGTTCATCTAATGTACAACTTCATTTCAACATTTAACAGTTTAAACACAAAACTCATTTTATGATCTTTTTCAATCCAAAACAATAATAAGTTCAACGTTGAGTTCAACAGCGACTATACTATTTACCAAAATCGTTACAATTTGTTTTCTGCGTTTTTCAACTTTAACTTTTCGTCCTTTTCTTCACTTATATGGACAAACGAGACGAAAAAGTTGATGAGTCCAAGCTCATTTCAAGAGCAAATCTTTAATAGCTTTTCATCATTTAGTTTAGTCTCATTTTCATGAGTGAAAAAAGTATTCAACTTTATGGAATGAGTTTGTTTCATATCAAAATGCAGTGTTGAAAGGTTTTGTTTTAAGAATCAAAATTTTATAATCGTGTGTAAAGCCTGCAAAAAAACTCCCTGATAAAGGGAAGGAAAAACGGAATAAAGGTCAGAAAATTGAGTCGATTTTAAGTTTAAATAAGCAAGTAGAGATAAAAAAGTGAAAAAAAGTTCAACCGTCTCTGTTTGTCTCTCTTCATGTTGACCGTCACTTGCTTTACGAAATGTTATCGCAGCTGGAAAACCGTTCAACTCAACCCACTCTCACTGCATCACCAGCACAACTTGAACCATCATCATCCTTAGCACCTTCACATCGCAGGTCAACTGTCAACTCTCATCGGCAACCTCAACATGGTCACCCTGATGATAACCTTAAACATCAACCTAGAGGCTCTCATCAACAGCATCAAACTCCAGTTGAACCTCGGCTTCAATCAATGAGCATTTACGTGAATAAAAATGTTTCCTTGAAAAGTTTCTTACATTTTCTGCCTTCAAATTGTGGATTCACTTTGAGAACTTCAATAAATTTTATCATTTTATTTCTAAATTTCTTTTCAACTGTTGATGGAAACACCAATTACAACAACAAAAATTATATCAATTACAATGACAAGATTAGCAAGAAAAGTCTAGGTAAGTTGTGCTAAAATTGATTAAACATGTTACTCGATATGATCCTTATTGAATTTCATTGAATCCCTTCCATACTAGAAAAAGTTAATCAAACCCTTTGAAGAGTAAACAGAATAATTTTCATGAATCAACTAAATGATGAAAACATGCAAAATTAACAGCTTTAATGGAATCACTTGATTAGTAATTAACGTTTTAATTAATCTTGCCAGTTCTCTTTGCATTTTCATGTTAATATTCATTTTGAATAAACTTTCACTCCAAATGAAAAAGAGATAAAAAGTGTTTAAATTTACCAAATGAACATAAAAATGTTTCAAATGATCCAACTCATGAATACTTAACATTAACATTCAATTTAAAATTTCCATCAACAGATTAGTTTCATGATGACAGAAAACAAATCATGACCAGGTCAGCTAAACTCTGACCACAATCAGTTTCACAAACTGTTACATTTTGTGTCAAAAATAGCTGACTCAATAATATGTTGATGAATAATGAATTAACAAAAGCTGAACACAAAAAGAGTTTCCTTTCACAGAAAAAAATATCATGAAAATATGAGAATCGCAGCAAAAAATGTTTCATTGTTTTTCGAGGAATAATGAAGATCAAGAGTTTGAATCGATTACAAGGAAACATTTCGAGTCATTCAAAAGGTTGATCTGATGAAAAACTCTGAGAATCGGAAAAACAAAAGAAAATGTTTAAAGGAGAAAAAAAAGTTTTGACCCGAAAAATGCTAAGCCTTATAAGCCTCTTAATTAGCATATGATTGGTTTAATGGTTGGTTAATCACATTTAATCTGATGAGCTAATACAGTAACACATGAAATCATCTTGTCTAACCTTTCATTACCATTGAGTAACTTGTTCATTCCCAGCTTTTCATGATAAACTTTTAATATCGAAACCTTTTCCTTCTTACCTTTTCAAAACAAGAAACTAATATGATTACATTGAATGTTGAAAGATGCAAAGACTTTTCTTTGAACTTTTTTTTTCTCTGGACTTGGAATGAAACTTGCTCATGATCCATTATCGCGATTGATTGTCATTAGACAAATTTTTCTTCTTCTCAGGTTCATCTCTTGAATAATGATGTTCAAGTTGATGTGAAAATAAACACTGAAAAATGTTCATTCAAATGAAACAACAAATGAGGAAGCAAAAGGCTGAAAAGAAAAGTTGAAAAATTGTTCACAGAAAATATTAATAACAAGCGATAATAAAAAAAAACTCCCAGTTTTTCATCATTTATTATTCAATAGACACTTGAAAAATATTTAAACTTTTATCTTTTCTCCTCTTCTCATTGATCCTATTAGCATGATTGATCATGATGAAGTGTATTAAACATGAAAATCATTAAGTTTACTGATTAGTTTCAATGGAGTCAATCAACGATTCAGAAAGAAAGTGAAGAAGAATCAAAATCGAAAACTTTTTTCCTTCGTTTCTACCAAAGGTTAACATTAACTTTATCGTTATTAGAAGAAGAATATCATTCCCTGCCTTCCCTGTTATCATACCTTTAGATTATTTTATTGGTGAATATTTCGCCCTTTACTTTTGCTTACAATCATTATTATCATTCATTTTTGATTCTTTTTTTGCTTTTTTTTCTCAAAATTATTTGGTCACTCAACTGGAACCAGAAATGATAAAATGCAGAGAAAAAAATGAATTCTCATGTAAAACAAACAATGGTACAGACAAACTTGGTGGACCATGAATTGAGTCACAGGCTTTTTCTGTGTTCCATTTCTTCGATCATCAAAATCGACAATAATCATGAACTCGAGGTGAACATTGTAAAAGAATGTTGGGAGGAAAAGAAACATTCATGATAAACATGATGAAGATGTTGATATCTCATGTCAAAAAGGGTTGACTTTAGACACGCACAGTTATCATTTACAGCATTTACCTTTTATCGATGATAAAACGTATCAATATCATTGTGTTTACATGATTCACATTATTAACCGTTCAATTGTTTCACCGAGTCTCATTTCATTTGTTTTATCATTTTTCAAACTTTCAATTTCAGTTTCGAATTCATTGTTAATCTTTTTCCAAATTTCATCGATTTCTTGAATATCACTTTCGATGAATTTGGATTTTATCTTTACTATTCAAAAAGGGATTGAAATTGTTAACTCTGATCATTTGTTTTATCATTTCTCAATATTTTGATGTTTTTCGATTTTAGCTTCGAATTCGTCTTTTTCAGAATTTCCTTGTTAAGTCGATCTGTTGAAGTTTCGATGAGTTTGGCCTTTTCTGTTCTTATTGAGAAATGTCTTTGAGTTGTGATTTTGGTCAAGTTGTGGTTCGAGTTGAGTTAATAGCTTTGAAAATGTTTTGGGTTTGTTCAAGTTTGCACTTCTTTTGGTTGGTTAAGTCTATTTCAGGGTGGAACTCAATTTTCGGGTTGACATTTCATTTTTAGGTGAAATTGTATATTATTGGTTTTACCCAATTTCCTGATCTTTTACTTGTTCTGGGTTTGCTTTTGTTGAGCAATTAACTGATCTATTGACTTAGTCTTTACGCTTACCAAATCCAAATGTAATGTTGAACAACTACTTTAATGTGCTGATCAATTCTCATTGTTTATCTTTTTGGTTAAATTGATCAACTTGTGCCCAGTTTTTGTTGTTGCTCTTTTTTCATGTTTTACTTTTCCCTTTCAACAATTGATTCATGGGGTTCAACATGAGATCCATCGATTCATCAGAAACATTATCACGTTTCAAACGAAAGACAACAAACAAAATAGCAAACAAAATCAAATCAAGAGTAACTCGGAAAATCCAAACAACTTGCAACTTGATTTCAACTTTGCCCTTCGAATCAAAGTTTCTATCTTTTTGCTAAATCCAACAAATTGAAGGTTCATTTTAAACTAAAAGTTTACAATACAAACAAATAAGCATAAAATTTTGTTTCAGCAAAAAAATTTCCTTCAAAATCGATTCGAAATTCATCAGATTGAATACTAAATAAAGAATGCCTTTTAAATTCTAATCAGAATCGAAAATTTTCCAAAATAATTCGAAATGCATTCAAAGTCTAAAAGTTTTGATTCTAAAAGATAAAAACACGAGTCTCGAACCTTGTACGAATGTTACGTTACATTAAAATCGTTATTGTAACTTTATTTGCATGTTATTCAATTAAAATTGAAAATTAATTCAATCAAATTTCGTTTCACTTTCTTTACAAAAAGTTCGGGTCAGCATTTAACTCTACCAAATTAAAATGGTTCTAAATATTTTATGTTTATACTTGAATATCCTTAATAACTGTCTTTTGAACCAATAATTAAGCAAATTAAATTTTGCAAATGCTTTGACATCTCAAAGCCGTTTTCAATTGTAATGTTATTGTGAGTTCGGGTTACTGAATATGCATTTCTGCTTCTTTTGATGATGAAGTAAATGTTGAGCATTTCCAATATTGCTCCAACCACTTGAACACTCGCATGATCTGAAAGAAAACCAATCATTTGAAAAATTATTCTAGTTTAATGTTAAAGTGTTACAATGATCATGTTTTAGCGAAACTATTGTTCATTTTTGGCTTTCCATTGATGTTTGAAAGTAATCCATAATTGGTCTTAAATTGGCATTCATGTTGATATCGCTTGATTTGAAGATTTATATGAATTTTGAATCAAAGCAGAATCAAATTGAGACAATATTACTATTGAATTGACGAGAAAAGATACAAATGTATAAGTGGAATGAAAATCAATAGTATTTTGGTCAATATTTCCAATTTCGGAATGTAAATTTAATTCTATTTTATTTTCTCTTTGTTACCTGCAAACGCTATCAAACCCACTCATTTTTGAATAATATTGTACCGTGAACAAGATGTCATCTTGAGCTTTATTTAGACTGAAATGTTATAAAACAGTGAAGTAGAAAACTTTTTACCTTTTAAAGTCTCTTTCATAACTAAATTAACCTTCATTTTGTTTCAGTTTTTATTCACTTTCAAAGTTAGCCGGATCACAATTCCCTGGATTTGATGACAGGAATCCTGATGATGCCTAATTCAATTCCATCTAATTGTTTAGCCATTAACAGTTAAATGAATTAGACGAAGTTTGACTGGTAATGAACTGAATGTGATGACCAATTTAAGATCATTTTCAACATTTTCCGCTCTCAATCTTGTTCTCGATCAATTGCTATCCAGTTTTGCTTATTGTTTCAGTTTTAAGTTTAAAAGCTGATCGTTATTCATTTGGAAATTTACAATCGATTTGTTCTCATGAAATTTATTAGTTGAAAAATTTCATTTGCTTTACTTCGGGTCTTCTAGACTCTTGATTAACTGCTGTAATTGGTATGAAATGTTATTAGATTAAAAGTAACGAAGGAAACAAAAAGAGCAATCAATTACTTAATGAGTCTCTTGAGTTAATTCAAATTGACATCGATAAAAGTTACAGTTTGTATTGAGTCCGATCATTAGCCAGGGTCAATTAAAGCAGAAACAATTAGTTGGTACAAAAAGGTTGAGACTAAAAATGATTTACTGATTGATTAGTGATTCACGGTAATGGTCAAGTAAGCTTGTTAATCACAATTCAATGCTAATTTCATTAGAAGAGCCAAAAAGGACGATTGAAATGATCGGCCATTTCGAGCAATAAAACAAAATGTGAAAAGTTAATTTCATCAAATTGATCCAAAAACATTCGCAAAGACGAATAAAACCAGACAATTTATCAACAAGACTCAGAAATAATCAAAGGTGCTCATATTCGCTAAAGATGATCGTTAATATCGGTCTAAAATCTTAGTAGAATTGCAAAAGTTGAAATAGTGTCAGTTTTATTGTTTCTCAGAAGCTCAAAACGATAGCATTTGCATTGTTTTCGTAACGAATATAATAAGACTTGGAAACACTTGCTAGGCATTCAAACGAGTCTCAATGCGATAGCATATTGGTGGTTTGAATGTTAATTGTCCAAAATTGATCAAATAAAACTTCGAGCAACAAATGCGTATTCGATCGATGACTTGGATAGATTTGGATGAAGAATGTTTTCTAATTCGAAATGCATTCGACCAGAAAATCGTTTTTAAAGCAATGCAAAGCTTTAAGTGAAGTGGTTCTTCATTTTTTTGTGTAAATTCTTATAGAAATCGAATCCGGTTGAAAAGAAAAAAGAAAAATTGATTCTGCATTGGACCTAAAACTCAATTGCTATGGACAATCAACCTGAGCGAGACGTAAGAGTTAGTTATCTGATGTATTAACATGAAAATTGTAAGCAAATTTGCATGGAACAAAATTTGTCGGAGAAAATGAAAAGTTGCCTCATTTTTCACCATTATGTTCATCTTGATAAGCATCAAATTGTGTCACTTCAATTTGAATTACATTGAAATTTTATTCAAATCAGTTGACAACATTTTATCATTCGCAAACTTTAAACATTTCAATCATAATTTCCATCAAAATTTTCATCAAAATTCTTGTCACAAACTTTATCAGATTACTTTTCAATAATATTCATTTGACAGGGTTCAATCTTTTACACTTTTGTGTTCACTCAACAATTAAATCAGACCAATTTCAACTTTAATTGGAACAACATTTTTCACTCTCAATCTTTACACAAATCATTATCCATCGATCATCCGTCAATTGAATCAATTAAAATAATCACACAAGGAATAAAGTTTCAAGTTACATTCAGACTGCTTAACCAGAGAAAATGAAATTTCTGACGATAATTCTGATTCCCTTTCATTGCCTAAATGTATTGATTATTATCATTACAACTGCAAGTCAACAAAAGCATTAACAGAGTTTATTCAATTTCACTTCTCGAATAACTTGAACTTTAAAGTTATCAGTTAATCAAGTGAACCAATAATTTGATTAGGAACGTTCAATGACAATCAACACAGGAAAAACATTCACATATAATTAGATCAATTTGGTTCATTTTTATTTTACGTCAAGTTGTGCTTACAAGTTCATTGTAATTGTCTAATGAGATTAACCAGAATTGATGAGGAAACATGAAACAAAACAAAGCTCTTGATAATCATGAAAGATAATTATTGCATGTATCTCAAGTTTTCAAATTTTCATCTCAAATCTCAACGAAATTCCACTTTTCTCTGATCACTTTCAAGTGGTTTACTTGTTCAACTCCCTGTCAATCCAAACATTTGAACAGTTTTGATTAGTTTTGAACACTTTTTTCCCTTTCATCGAGTCTAAGGCTGGCAACACTTGCAAGTCTCAACCTAACAAGTCAACTGTGTTGGACTAAACCTTGAGTTAAACTTGCCTCAAGCTTGGTAAATTAAAGTTGATTGAATTTTTCAAGTTTTGACTTTCAATGAAAAAGGTTATAACTTTGGCCAGGAAAGGTGAAGCATAATCTGTCTCATGAAGTGTCTCATGGTGAACAATATTTTTCCATCACTCATTTTCCATCATCTTGAAGGAGACTCAATCAAAGTCTCTGTTAACCTCAGCCTCGGGGAGTTTAAGTTGACTTTCTTTGTAACAGTTGCTCGTCTTTCATCCAACATTTGTTGTTGTTCATTTTCACTTCTTCATCAGATAATGTGATCAATGAGTGTCTCTTTTTTTGTCTCTGGTCAACTTGTGAAAACTCCTTTTTCGTGTTGTTCATTCAACTTGAATGCATCTTGTATTAACACACCTATTGTGTCTCTTGTTACCTCAGTTTTGTCTCTTTTTTTTCTCCTTCTACTGACCATCCACTGACCTAGGGTAAGAAAGTTGAGGGACAAAAAAGTTGCAAAAATCTGATAGGAAATGCGAAAGTTGAACGATGCTGGAAGAGGAAAAATGAATGAATAAATTGGTTAGACTGATAGCGACTCCATTAACCTTTCAATCCCTAAATTGTCTTTGACATTTTAAGGTTATTCTTGTGACAATTTTGCTTTTGTTTTTCGCCTTTTGCCTTCTTGGATTCCCTAAATTAAGATGAGAAACTGTGTCTCTGTGTATGTACATGTGTGATGAATGTGATGAATCAGGGAAAGAGAATGAATAAAATGAGAATGAGCAATGATGATAATGATGGGAAAAAGGATGAACTAAACAAGATGAAAAGATGTCAAAAAAGAAAACAAAAGAAGAGCAAGAGAAGATGGAAAACATTGAATGAAAGATAATCAGTCAAAGCTGAATGACTTCAAATGAATGGAGAAGAAAAAATTTAAATGAAATTCATTTCTCAATCTTTTTCCATTCCATTTATTGATCACAGAACTAAACTTTTCCTCTTTTCCTCTCTTCTACCTTTAGAATCGCATCTATTTTCATATAAACGCATCTTTGGGGCCACAACCAAGATAGAGCCACCTTCACGTCCCTTGTCATCCTGGGACGATCCAACCTTTAAGCCTTACTTCGACGACAATAACGTTGACAACGTGACCACACAATTGGGTAAAACTGCTCATCTTCACTGCAAAATCCGTCAACTTGGTGATAGAACGGTAAGAACAATTGATTAACAGAACAATTATTCATGTTTAAACATTTACAGAACAAATGTTTTCTGTTTCTTCCTGACATTCATTTACCAGAATTACAACAATTAATCTTTACCTTTTTATCCAGTTTCACTTGAATAATTGTCACAAAATTTATGACCAGTTTTGTGCTTCATTTTTAATCTCAACTTTTGCTTTCCAATTGAACATTAGTCGATGAATGGAAAAGGCATAAAAAGTGATTACTTGGAGGGTTCAGTTTGTTCCTTGGGTTGCTTTTGTTTTGTTGCGCTTACTAAATCAACTTGCATCTTTGTACATTTAAACAATATTACCTTTTGCCTTTAATAAGATTTAGCTAAACACAGTGAAAAGAAATCGATATTTTACTTTTACTTCCCTATTCCACTATCTTATTATATTTAGCTACTTTCACCTTGTTACTTGCAGACTTTAAGATGAAGATTACTCAAGTTGTTACTCTTCACACCACTTCGCGATCTCAATCATGAGAATGATGATCATGATCATTCATTCATTTCAACTTTTGTTCTCTTAATTTTCAGTCTTTCCCATTTCCATTGCACCAGAATGTTACAGTTTACTTTAGTATATCATTCAATTGATGCATTTTTTACCTTCTTTCATGATATTACTTTATATCGAGTTTTACACTTTCAATGGTTCTTTTATTTGGTTAGAAATGATTTCATTTTTCTGGTTTAGTTTTGCATTCACTTAAGTATTAGTCTCATTAGTTAGTGAAATTGCAGCATTCAATGGATGCATTTCATTAGCAATTATTAACCAGAAAAGTGAATAAAAACGGTTGCAGTTTTTAATTTTGAGCAATGAAATGATTTTATTTTCATAATGTTATTAGGCTTCAAATATTGATACAAGTTGTTTTGATTCAATTGATTCTTAAGTACGCAAATTCAATTGCTTTACATCTTGTATTGCAAACTATTTGAAACATAAAACTGAAATTGGATCAAAGCTAGACTTGGATTGCAAATCGGTAAAACAAAACATTGTAACAGACAGAAATTGATTCAAACATTGTTGCTTCGCAAATGCAGTCACAGAAATGAACGAAATGTCAGTGCAGGAACAAGCTTTGGCTACTTGGAGTCTTTTTTGTGCGATTTTGTTTAGGTTTTCTGTTGTTCTGATAAGTTAGTTAAACATTACGAAGATCTTGACGTCGATCACAAAACTCAAAAACTTGCTTTTACTCTCATCTTTGTTCGCTTGACTATTTTATTTGCCTTCGTACTGTCATTAGAATCAGATATTTCAATAAATTGCAAAGACTTCAGTGCTATCTTCTTTCATGTTCAAAGCTGGACTTGAAAACAAAACGGTGTGAGACAGAAAATGATTCAAACATTGTTGCAATCGAAATTCAGTCTTAGAAATGAACGAAATGTCAGATTTAGACCAAGGAAGATTTAGCTATATATATAGCTAAATATATTTAGCTCCGTTTTGTACGATTTCGTTGCTGATGAGTAAACATTACAAAGATCTTTTGATCGATCAAGAAACGCATAAACTTCTTGGCTACTCGATTTACTTTCGTACAATGACTTAAAAGACATGTTATCGTAAGCAAAGTAATGTTGAATTAGAATTTGTTGTGTAACTACTGGTTCCAAGAGTTCTTCTAACACACTTTGAGTAATCGTAGCTTCCTAGAAGCTTTAACACAAGTATGGCTCAACCGGGTTGAGTTATTCACAGATTTCAACAGGGTTGAAACTAAGATCTTTTAACCAGCTAGTCACGATCTTACAGTTCACACAAATAGTCCTAGACTATTAATCACAGTTCAGCAGTCGTAATACCGAGTATTACTGATGTAGTTTAACCAACCTAGTTGGTAAGGCAGAGTATTCCGGGAATACTCTCCAGCTATCACAGATTCCGAGAATCTAGATGAAATGAAGGACTTCACAATGATTGTCTAATTAACACAGTTTAATCTAATCAAAGCACTAATGTCACTTAAAATACAATTAGTAAGGTTAGTCTATTTATACAATTAATTACGGAAACATAAAGTAAGGATGTTATACAAAAAATAGAAAAGAAAAGGAAATACTCGGTATTTCCAGAGCAACAGCCCAACTCTAGCAACCCGGTTGCTATCTTAACAGTACAAGGAGCGCGAACATTGAATCACACAACATTCCCCCCGACTGAAACTAGACCACCGGTCCATTATTACCAAGAGTCACTTCGATTGTCTGACCATCCACAACCCGTTCACCAGGTGGTAAGGCAATCCAAAATGTAGGTCTATGGCCCACTTGATGTTGGCGAAGCGTCTGGTGAGTTCCAAGCGCAGTATAATCAATTCTGATTATGGAACCCAGTTCCGTATTGAAGTATCTCTCGATCCTGGATCGAAGATCACTTGCTCGCATACCTAAGTTCAAATCATTGAACCTACCAGTTCTGTTTCCAAACCTAACAACTATCTGAGGCGATCCTCTGTACGGATTATGGCAACGTATGTTGTTCATCATTCCACGAGGTCGTCTATCTTGTCGGGCTCGCTCAAGTTCTTCACGAACTGCATCTCGCTCCATCATCAAGCCAGCAACTTGAATGGCCAAGTCCTCATTTCTTTCGTTCACGGAACGAAGTTTGATTTTGAGTTCTTTAACATACTCTTTACAATCGTGACCTCTTCTAGGTACGTTACAAATCGCACAAGGAGCATTAGAATTAGGATTATGCACACAGATATCTACATGACTCCTTAGCTCGTCGTACCTCATAATGGTATCACAAGCTTCATATTTACAGCGAACTTGAAGACTGTTGAGAGTAGCCATACTACGACGTCCACCTTCCAAAGGTAAAGGTCCAATACCATTTCTCAAAAGCTCGTTTCTGTTGCACCTATGAGGGCAAAGCTGATTGGCTGAAGCTTCCAGGAAGCGCTCAAAACAGTTTCGACACATAATCGTAGGGCAACCCGGTTGCGGTGAAGTTGCATGGATCAGTGGATCAATAGCGACTTCTGAACATACGAGGCATACATAATCTTCAAATTCCTCCGGATTCACCATCTGTCTTCGCGACATAACACCATCATCATCGACTAATTGCCAATTCTGCAAAGGTGGTGGCGGTCGATTGTCCGGTTCACCAACAAACATGTTAACACCAGCAACACCAATTTGCCTTGGTTGACCATTAGGATCCCAACGCTGAGCCTCAAATATAATTTCTGGCAACTCATCTGCGTCCTCCAATGGTTCCCACTCTATTTCATTATTCATGATGATGAAGTTGAACCCGGTTCAACACAAAATAAGCACAAAAACGATTCCTAATCGTAACAATTTATACAAAGGTATTCCCAGAATACAAAATTGAACACAGTGTTGAACAAACAGTTCTCAGTAAAGTTGATTAACAATGTATTCCAAATACAAGAATATCACAAAAGAAGATCTCCCAGAGATCAATGTTGAGGGTGTTCCGGGAACACAACGGCAACAGAAAACAGAAAGTATTCACAGAATACAATTCAAAACAATTTGCAAAATAAACGATTTGCACAAAATCAAAATTAACAAAATCTCAAAGAAATAAAGTTGATGTGAACAGAACGTTGTTCCTGGAACAAGTAACTTCCACTTCCATAGTTGCGAGGGAAACAAGTGTCAAGGTTACCGAGTAACCATTGCGTTGACCAAATGTTACCTCCAAATTCAAATGTTACAATTAATTTACCCATTTACCCAAAATCGAAAATAAATTAAATTAAACAAAATAAGCATAATTAGTTTAACCCCAATAAATCCATCAGTTCATCATCTTCTTCCTCATTTCCCTCATTCCTGGAATGAGTATCTCTATGATAAGGACGAAGCCTAGAAACATGCACAATTTCTTTCTTAACAGGACCTTTTAGGTTGATTAATTCATAATTAACCGGGTTAATTCTTCTAATTATCTTGTAGGGCCCCTTAAATCTATCGATGAATTTCTTGTTTTTCCCTTTCACCAATAAGGGCTGCTTCAACAGAACCAAAGAATGCAAGGCAAATTCAACTTCTTTATGAGATCTATCATAAAACTTTTTAGATTTCGACTGAGAATTCACAATATACAATTGAGCCAATTCTCGAGCTTTATTCAAAGCGTCTTCTCGAGTTGCAATTTGACTCCATTCGACGGGTAATCCAATTCTTGATTCCCATGGAAGCCTGGCCTCCACACCGTGTACCAAATAAAACGGTGAATACTTTGTTACCTTGTGAGGCGTAACATTATAAGCGAACACAACTTCCTTCAGAAACTTATCCCATTCACTTGGATTGTTTCCACTGTAGATGCAAAGAGTTGTTCCCAAATACGAATTGAACCTTTCAGTTTGTCCATCACTTTGCGGATGATAGGCTGACGTAGGCAAATGTTTGATACCGAAACTTTTCAGAAAAGTTTCAAATTCCTCGGACATCAAATTTGTCCCTCGGTCAGTCAACAGAGTTCCTGGAACTCCAAACCTGAGTATCCATTCATCAAATAATACTCCAATTATTTGTTCACTTTCAGTTGATTTCACTGCTGAAGCTACTGCAAACTTTGTCAATCTATCATTGATCACAACAGCATATTTGAAACCATTCTTTGAAACCGGCAATTCCATAATATCTAAACTTATATCACGAAGCACATCCTTGGGACATCTAATCGGAATCATCAAACCCTGATTCGATGCAGGAAACGGTTTCCTCCTTTGACATTGGTCACAATTTCGAATAAAGTTGAATAAATCTTTACTTATTCCTGGCCAATAAGCTCGACACTTGAGTTTCTCCAAACACTTATGCATACCCAAATGACCTTCTTGATGAGCTCCATCCATAACAAGAATTCTCAATTCTTTTGGCACAACAGGAACCAATTCTTTTCCTCTTTTGAAAAACAATGTGTGATTCAGAATCACGAACTTTTTCTTCAATCTGCTTTTTGCTCGTTTTGTTAATTCACTTGAATTCAACAAATCTCTCATCTTTGAACAATAAGCATCTTTGATTTGTTCATCCTTGAACTTAGAAACAGGTTCAATATAACA